GATCGGTGATGACTGCTAGCTCATCAGCACCACAATCACTGTGTCAGCATTGAACAGAGCTGAGAGCCAATCAGATGTGACAGGTCTGGACTGCAGGACACGTGAAACGCTTTACATGTCTCCTCAGATGTGTTTTTTTGGTCACATTTTGCAAATCCCCCTGGCTTTTATGCTACGCATAATCAGCAAGTGTTCCTGTAATATTCCTCACTCCTCACACCCTTGCAGTGTGCAGCGGAGGTGGAAGGCAGGTCGAGCGTGCATGGGTGGGGGGAAGTGATGTTATAGAGCAGGGAGGAAGTGACATTGTGATGGTGGTTCATAATCCTATGGCTGTGAGAGTGTAGTAACCCATTCTAACATTTTAATTCCATCTTCTAACATTCTAACTCCACCTTCTAACATTTTAATTCCATCTTCTAACATTCTAACTCCACCTTCTAACATTCTGATTCCATCTTCTAACATTCTAACTCCGCCTTCTGTAATAGAGTGGCTGAATATTCAGAATACCAATGAAAATATACATCTGCAGTTAGGGTCATGTATTGTGCAAGATAATAACAGGAACTTCCAGGTGTGCCTTTTCTTCTTCTTACGTGCAATTATGAATGTGTAAGTGTATTTCAGAGTGTTATGTAATTAGGTATGTGGAGGTGCTTGCTTACATATGGTATGTGTTTGTGGCATATTTGGAATGGTATAGTCCTTAATAGTATAATACATAATGCTCTACTCTTACATGTCAATCTAGGCACATGTTTGTGATCTCAGGATGTTTGGCACTGATGCTTATTAATACTGTGTGTGGTTTGTGGTGTCCTGTTTGTGCAATTTTTTGCCATTTTATTAGAAGCACTGTGTAAGTCACCCTGGATAAGAGTGTCTGCTACATGGCAATAATGTAATGCAATGGAATGTTTGTTCCTGGTTTAGTCTTCATTGTCCAATAAACGGTGTTAAATTTGTTCTGGTTCAGGATTGAGAAGGCAAGGCTTTTGCCAGATCTCCCAGGTTTGCTTCAGTTCTCTGAAAGATGTTTTTAAGCCACTCAAACAGCAGGGCAGTGTACTGCCTGTCTTTAAGGCCAAAGCCAGGCTGTGCCTCCATCTGGACTTGACTTCAGCTTTAAAAAAAAAAAGAAATATTTTTTAAAAGAGTCACTGAAGTTTTGGCAAGCCGATTTATTCATGACTTCTGGTTATCGCTAATCCCTTTAGGATTAAGGGGGCTGGCCACAGCCGAGAGAGGAGACTCTTCAGAAACTGAATTATTTGAATCGCGCTTTCCGCATATGCAAAACCTCAGGCTCAAACTTGGGGCGGGAGAGGGAAGTGTCCGTTCCATTTCAAGGTGACTCGCGAAGCAGGGAATGTGCGCTGTGCTTTGCAGGTGGCACATTGGGAGGCGCACCGTGTCCTCACTCCAGCTGCAGGCGGTGACTTTCTGTTTTTTAACAGTTAACCACTCAAACATCAGAGCAGATAATGCGCTGTAAGTAGATCTGTTCTTTGATGTGGAGTGTTCAATTATTTGACATTCTGTAGGCTAATCATCAGTGCTGAACACATGCAGAGTCTGCGATGCAGTCAATGAAGCAGCGCTCATTTTTCATTGGAGCACCTCTGATTGAATTCACTCATAAGTGGAGTCCATTCACTCATTTTTTTCGTATAGACCAGAAAAGAACTCTATTAGTGCAAAACACCCCATGGGTTAATTTAAAGGAACCCACTGTAAGGCACAAGATGTTGGCACTTTCAGAAGGTGCATGTTTGGAGTTAGTGGGGACAATGGCGTTCTGAGACAGCTTCCTCCTTAATCCCTCTGAATGACTATAATTACGGTAAATGGAGTACCTCTTGAGATTTGTCACTGCCATCAAAAGTGTTAGTGGTATGGCCCAAAGCTTTATTACGGTGCAACAGTCTAGTGCTGTCAAGAATTTTTTCATTATTGTTTTCCCTCAAAAAAGGTCATTTGTTTTTCTTTTTCCCAAAGACTATGGAAATTCAATTGAAAACATGATGCTTTTTGACATGTCTTGCCATTTCTCGTGATATTTGATTGACGTCTCCTTTTTTTAGCCTGTGTGCATGTTGCAGAGAGTCAGGGCTTGTCCTGAAATCAATGACAGGAGGTGTATGAGTGTTTGCCTTGGATGGATGCCAGTCAATCACAGTACCACTGTCCCAGTCTTTCACAGTGTTCAGAAAATACGTCTGCCAAATAATTTGGCTTTTTTTCTTGCGGAACATTGTATTACTGCAAGTCAATAATTGAATTCCAGCTATGAAATCAGTAAGTAAACAATATATCAGGTGTCCTTCACAAGGCCTAGATAAAACTCTCATGGTCCCCTCCCACGTACCAAAGGTCGTCTCCCCTTGGTCATTACACAAAAAAAAAAAAGTTCACCCTCAGCAGCTGATGCAGATACTTGGGCAGGTAATAGCACACCTCTGGAGCTCCCAGAAGCTTTTGAATGCAAATAAATCAGAGCAGTACTGCATAAAATTAAACTCTTTTGGTTGAATATCTGAACCCATCATATGCTAGAAACAATGGGACACAGCAGGCAGTTACAAAATTAGGTGGAGGGTTGGTCAACACCTCACTGGCTCTTCCTGTAAAGGTCCTTGAGTGAACTCATCATTGTCTTTACTGATCCAATTTCTCTGCTCTCCCCAGTTCAGGTGTTAGTAATTTAAAAAGAGCTGGAATGCCTGCTGACCAGAGCTCAGCCCAGGTGGGTCTGGCTGGAAAGGGATTATGGGGTCGTGTTTTCACATTGCCTGAGACGGAGCACTGGAGCAGAACAGAAACCCCTCAGTGTTAACCCTGGTAAAGGGATTGTTGCTAGTCCCCTGGGATTTAGCAGGGATCCCACATGGGCGAGAAGTATGCATTTTATCCCTCTCATGAGTCTTTCTACTACTGAGCTATTTTCAGCTCACATTCATTTCTGAGAATTAGGATTTGAGGAGGACACGAACACAAACATTGCTGTGAATGTTGAAGAAATGGAAGGAAAAAAGTGGGTAGGCAGTCAGAGGAAAGAGAATGGAAAGGAATTATTCATAATTGTGATTAATGCTTATCTTGACATGTTTAAGTCTGACAGAAGTATGACTCTAACAGATGAGATCTATACATGATTTGACAGACAAATCACTCTATGGTGCCATCAAACCTGGCTTCAGTTCTTGAAATGTGAATATCCAGGTGCATGCATTTCCTAACTGCGAGTTTGAAAATATAATCAGTAGTCTGCCTCGTACCTGGGACTTTAGCAGAAACCATGTGATGCAAGCCCCTTGTGTGGCACCTTGTGTCTGCGCCACACCTTTGCTAACCTTCTTCTGGGTAATTTTAGTTCTACCGAGAGAAATGCAAGAGCAGGGAGAGAAAGCTGGAACATCTTCTCTGCTGTTCCCCTCCTCAGCTCCATCTGAGAGCATTACATCATTTTCAGGCCCAGGTGCTGATGGCGGAGAGTTTAATTAAGAGTAATTAAGAGATACAGCTTCAGACCAGAGACCTGTCTCAGTGTTTATCCATTACTCTTCAGGGCAAGAGAATGATGAAGAACCTATCCTTAATTGGTCTTCAGCGTCCCATCTGGTGCATCCTGGGTAATCGTGCCATATCTCTTTCTGTTCCTCAGCTCTGCTAACGTTTGTCCCGAGGAGCATGTTGGGTTAGCATAGCAGGGAGTTGCTCTCCGTGACTGTGAAATGACTGGGCACACGTTCAGTTCTGAGATGCAGCGCCTCTGCTTGGCTCAGCTCATCTCTCCCTAATGTGAGCTGTCCTTTTCTTCTCACAGAGAAGAGTTCCTTTATTTCCCAGCCTCTCTGTGCAGCTGCAAGTGAAGGCCTTTTTGGCTGTGGAATACAAGGTTTGTGTCTCTGAATAACTAATTAATTTCTCCCTCACTTTTGACTTGCATGTGCTTGATACCGCAAAGGCTAGAGTCCTTGTGTTTTGAGAGCCGAGGGGAATGGTTATGATTGGGTTATTTGAAACACATGGTTGGGTGCATTCAGCAAGAGAGAATTATTAATTTCAATATTATAAGTGGGTCCTCTTGTGCTTTGCTGTAGTGGTTTTGAAGACCTACAGGCACAGAAATAATGATTGTTATTTGCATTTGAAGTCAGTATCTTATTCATGGTGTATAGACAATATGTGAGTGAAACTGCAAACACTTGTTTGGCACTATGACCTTTTAATTATTTTTAATTTACACTCCAAAAGATATCAGTTTATACCTTCATGCACTATTTTTGTAACAACTCGAGTGACTGAGCGGGCCGGGGGGTTTGGGAGGTGAGACCATGGTGGGAGGTGGAAGGGTGTTTTTGGAGGGAGAGAACTATAACAGTCACTCCATCTGACCTTATAACCAGACATTTCAACCCCAAAGATCCATTAGGGTAAATGCTAACTCACCTTACCTTTATCCATTTGTATAGCACAGTTCATACAGCAGAGTGCAACCCAGAGAGTTTTACCAATGACATAAAAAATTAAATAAGAAATGTTTCATGTGCCAGTCAAAAACAATGCAGGATTAAAGAAGTAATGATATATAAAAAATGGTAAAGGCAGATGAAATAACATAAAATCTACAATGTTTTTCAAGTCATAAGAAGTCATTATCTGTACTTAAAAATACAAATAAAAGGACTCATTAGTATGCTATTTTAAAAAAGTAAGTGTTAAGGTTAATGGGTATTCTAAATATCGCAGGATGTCATTAGTACATTGACACAGTATATTTAGCGGCTTTCCAGTTTGCATTTCTGTATTGGTATATCACTTTTTACCATATTGTAGTTGCTAAGGGTTCTGTAAAAACTCACAAGTAGAATTGGTGATAAAGACAGTGTCTTTTGAGTTTGAGTGGTTGGGATGTGATTCCCTTTGTCATTAAATCAGCTGTGGGGAACTGATAGAGATTCTTAAAGGAGATGGTAAATGTGTCAGCAAAAAGTGTGTTCCTATGGCTCAGTTGGTAGAGGATGGCACTAGTGATGCTAAGGTTGTGGGTTCAATTACCAGGGAACACACATAATAACGAACTGTATACCCCCAATGTGCTGTAAGTTGCTTTAGATAAAAGAATCTGCTAAATGAATAACTGTAACTGCAAAGTGTGAAGACAAATGGCCAGATCGCTCTGTCAAACGCCTTCTCAGCATCTTGAGAGGGTATAGCTTTTTAAACACAGTATTAGGTTCGATTAAGTAATAAAAGTATGCATTTGTGTTGTCTGGGCAGTGTCTGCTTTTGACTAAATCTGGTTTGATTGGGATAAATTAAGTCAGGGATGGAAAAAAAAATTTAATTAAAAAGAGAAAGAAGGAAATTCAATTCAATTATAATTTGAATTAAATTAAAGTGAGTAAGGGGGCTTTGGAAATTATCTTTACATCTAAATTAAATAAACTTAAAGGAAGATAACTTTGGCAGAAAGATCTTTCTGTTTTAATAATAAGGCAGTGATTGCAGATTTGTCAAATGATGTGCTGCTGAAGTAGACAGCATATGTTTTACAGTTTCCTTGAAAATGAGGTGTTGTTGTGGAGGTGCTTGTGGAATATCTGGGAGCAGGTTAATGTTCTGAGCCCTGAGGGGTTGAATTTGAGTTGAATGTTACCGGGAATAGAAGCAAAACTTCTCAGTCCCCTGTTATGTCATACAGTCTGCATTTTAAAGATTCCTTTTCTCATATCTGAACAGTATTTCCTACACATGGTGTCAAATGATACATCTCCCAAACCATCTTTGATTAGTGTTGTTTTATTATGTTGTTTTGTTCTATCTTAGTTTTTATGTTTTTTATTACCAATTTTTTTTTTTTTTTTTGATATACCGAATTGTTTTGCTATATTATCACCAATTAGTATTTTTTGCAGGATTACCTTTCACTTTTTTCTGTGCATTTTTTATATCAGGCTAAATATGGTTTAAATTCTTCTCTGTCATTCTTTATTCTTTATTCTCTAACTTGACCATCAGCTGTGAATGAGCTGGTTTCACCCCATAGACGCACTTTAGGACATGATGTTTCCTGTTTCTTGGTCTTGGTTAGAGAGTATTTTGTTACATTCCCCATTATAAGGTTCCTAAAACATGTTGCCTAAAACATATATCTGAAACACTGCCCTCAGCAGTGAAATGTTGTGAAACTGGTATAGTTTGATTGATAGTTCAAAGGTCATTGGGTGTGATGCCCTTAGTATGCCCTGAATTAATGGTTCATAGATTGTGCAGTTAACCAAAGAATAGTTAAGTAATTTTATGATCTAGTCAATGCAACAAATTGTATAAGGCAATCTATGAAAAATTTATTTAAAAAAGAAACTTTTTTCTATGGGTTGTGCGGTTACCATGTACTGTATCTCGATAGCCTAAATCACATATGAGCTTATTGAATACTGCAGTGCTTAATGTTTTGTCTCCATCTGAGTTGTTGCCTTGATTAAGGGATGTGTTGAACTCTTCACTGATAAGTATTCTTTGAACTTTTGTTTGAGAATATTGTGGGAAAGAATTCAGTGGATTCTTATTTTGTGCAAATAAATTTGGTTGTGAAAAAGGCCATTTCAGCCATGCCAGTAATCATCACAAATTGGCGGTTTGTTTCAGGTGTATGTGTTTTCATGGTTAGAAATAGCCTGCAGTAGGTGTGCTTTATTTAAATCTTTGCGGCTCTAAAAACACTTCAGTATGTTATTCCAATGCACTCAGTGATGATGTTGCTGAGCAACCCATTCTGTGTAACATCCAAAGTATTGGTTCAGTTTCAGTTTTGCTACGTGTTCTTTCATATGATGCTTGCATTTTGAATAGTAATGATAACTCAGATGCAGTTTGGTTGCAGCCTGGATGACAGCAACAGACAGTGGAAAGAGTATGAGTGTGAAGGCTTCTGTTCTCCAGTGGTTCAGTCAGCTGGAAGCTCCTTCTGAGTCTGGAGCTCTGACTCCTGCAGCTTGAACCTGAATTTGAATCTGAGCTGTGTCGTTTCCCGGCAATGACCGGGAATCTGCAGCGGTGCAACACCATTGTCTTAGTTTCTGCGTGGTAGGAACTGACATCTTTTTTGATGTGGTAAGAATTGGCCTTGTTTTGATGTGGAAGCGTAGGGTGTCATTGGCTGGGGTTACATTACATTACATGTATTTTTGAGGGGGGGTTCCCCATTGTGCCGTTTTTGGCACTGTGTGACTTGTCAGATGCCTGTCAGTCTCAGACGACACTAGGGAGATGCCCTTTCTCTGTTCAGCTTTCTCTCTCCTGGTGCAGCGTGGGACTTGCAGTGTGAAAAACAGTCATTGCTGCAGTCCTGTACAATTAGAAGACGTCACCGTGAGAGGAGCCTAATGCACGGTTATAATGTACAGGTGAAAAAAGAAAATACTTTAAAAAGGATAAAAAATGAGGCACCTGTGATATTTGCAATGTGCCAGCATCAATGACTGTCAGAGACTGACGTGAGAGAGACAAAGGATTACATGTGTAAGCAGATCAGACATCCCCTAAGGTGATTATGCATGTGTAGCATATGAAAAGGGGAAGGAATCAAACTGCAGGCATCTGTGTGACTCACTATCTGCTGTCACGCGCTGGCATATTTCTGCTAAACGCGTTTAGTTTTTTGCCATCAGTGGTCTCCGTACACCAAACGCTCCAGATTTCCATCACTGCACCGGATGAAAGGAGCACAGACATGGGTATGCATTGATCAGCGTTCTTCTTAAGGGCTTTTTGTAACAAGCTCTTGTACAGCACTTTGACAACAGCATTTCGGTGCATAGGTGTCCATTCTTCAGTGTTTCTGTTTTTGCCTGTGAAAAGCCTGTGCTCCGACAGTCTGCCCCCAGCTGCAGACAGAGAGCTCACCGCAGCACCACTGACAAACGGCCTGGCCATTCGTTACAGGCTGGCCTCAGATGACGCGTTTCCTGCTAAATCAATATTTACTGCCTTGTCGCTGTATGTGCTGGCTGTTTACAGCCTTTTTATGTGCCCTTTTGTTCTTTTGGAAAAATATTGTTTCTTCTGTAGTTGACAGTTCTGTAGTTTCAATGTGTTATTCATGGGTTGTCCATCTTTGAATCTATTGAATGTGGCCTGCCCAGCTTAATTACGGTTAAGGATTTCTGCATCAAATTTCCCGTTTGCTAACATCACGTTGGGCTGGGTAAAAGTAACGTTCTTACAGAGTTGCCATGAATCTGATATTTCTGCTGTCTTCACAATGACAGGCAAACGTGTGTATTTCCACAGGCTGTAGTTCTGAAATCCCCTCCCAAGGTCATGCTGTGAGAGAGCCATGCGGTGCTCCGTTTGCACACACTGTCGCGGGTGCTGATGTAGCACCATCAGAAATGCCAGAAGGCTTTTATAATCACAGGGTCTGAGCATTGGAATTCTACACGGCAATTCCCACTTGTTGATACGAGGTCACAGGGTTGATCCTCTGTGCTTTAAAACAGATCAGCAAACCCTTCCATGTCAGCCAATAAAAAGCCATTTCAGAGCATGTGTGTCCGTGGAGAACGGTCTCTCCTGTGGAACGCGCGGGAGTAATTTAATCAGCCTCACTGTCGGAGCGAAAGGAATTCAACTCAATAAAGAAGCAGGGCGACGCAGAGATTTCCACATTACTGTTTTTCAATCAGAGAGCCTCGGATTATGGTCACCATCGCTGGGAGTTTGCTTGGTACATCTTGTCCACATATTGTGCTTTGGCCTTTGAGGAATTGCAGAATGTTCAAGGCGCTCGGCGGTATTGAGTTAGAGCGGACCCCGAAATAGGACAGCGGCGATGTGTCGGCTTCAATACGTCTCGTGAATGTTCCCCTTGTGACAGGAAGATGTGCTTTTTCACAGGCTTCCTTCAGTGAAGCTGCCTCACGTGCCCGCATTAGAAATCAGGCATTTTTCACAAGGGGCAGAAGTCTGGGTCCTTAAAGTTATTGGCATGCCAAATTCGGGCTGCCGATGGGATCACCCATTTGTAACACAATTTTTTTGTTGCATTTCATAATGGGTTACAGGCAGGCAAAGCTCATATTTCCCCAACCATCTTATGACATGTTTCATCTGCTCACCTTATTGCACAGAGCTGAGTTTTTTTTGATTTGGAGGCTTCATTGATTTTGACAGGGGCGTTTTGTAGAACCTTTCATATCTGTCTCAGAACACCTATCCTCAGCCCAGCAATCATTTCAGAATACTCAGTTTTTTTTTTTAATTCAATAATCATTTATTTGACTGAAAGAGAAAAAGGAATATCAATGAATGAGTAACAATTAATTAGTGATCATGTATAAATGTATTAACTATGTTATTATTGCATAATTAACTCAATATTTAATAGTCTAGGGCTTACACTGGGCTCTTACCTCTCATGTATCTGAGGGGCGCATGGTTGTCAAATGTCACAAGGCACATCATATCTTTTGACTTGAGGTCAACCCTGTGCTAGTGGTTGTGAGTATATGGATGGGGCTTGAGAAATTTTATTACGCTTTAATTATTGACAGAAAGGCATTGAGAATAATTTTATATTGAGGTGTTAGTGTATGAATTGTGCATACCCAACTTATGACGATGATAATCTCATAGATAGCATTACAGCACCAAACATAGAGACATCAGTCTTCCATAATAAACACAGCTGGTCCTGCTTTGAAGCTTTGTGATCACATCTTCTTGGAATGGATTTTTTCATCTTCCTCAGGGTCTGCTGCAGGTACTGCAGATATAGGGACACTATGAAATACCTGAATCAAGCACATGAGAACATCCTGATGCTGACTGCTGTTGTGTTGACAGCACAAGATACCTGTTTGAGAACGTTGTTACAAGCGTCTGGGGGGGATATATCAATGGGGGAATGCTGAATGTGTTGTACTTATTTGTTCTGCCAACGCAAGTTCACTGAATGATGTTCATACATATTTTATTCAGAATAAACGGAGCAGGAGCCAGAGTCTGTGACAAACGTAGGCAAGCAGACTCCCATGGCCATGTGTAGCTGAAATCCAGGCCTTCA